AGAAAATATTTCTAACTAAATAATAATGAAAACACATGTAAAAACCTGTAGGATCTAGCTAGAACCGTGCTTAGAAGGAAATGTATAAATTTGCATGTTTATATTCAAAAAGGAAAAAGATGTAAACCTGAAGATGTCTGACGTAAGAAGCTAAGAAAAAGAAATAAGTAACCCCAAAGCCAGGAGAATGAAGGAAATTATAAAGACAACAGCAAAAATCAATGAAAAATAAAACACATATAAAAGGGAAAATTAATAAAGCCAACTGAATTCCCATACCTTGTGAGTGGGAATATAAAATGGTACCACCATTTTGGGAAAAGACGGCTGTTTTTAATAGTGTTAAGTATACACCTAGCCTACTACCCAGAAGATCTACTGCTAAGTAGTTAAGAAAAATGAAAATGTATATTCACAAAAAGATTTGCACAAAAAATGTTCATAGTAACTTTATTTACTATAGCCCCAAACTGGAAACAGCCTGCTTGCCTACCAATAGATGAATGAATAAATATAATGGATCATCACTCAGCAATAAAAAAGAATGAATGGAAGCCCCATCAACACAATGTATATTTCATGTAGTACCTTTTTCAATCCTCATAACAACTCTGTGATGCATTATCATTCCCTCTAGTTCACGTATGAAGAAAACGAGGCACAGAGATGGTAACTTGGCCAAAGACAGACAGCTGGCGAGGGGCAGACCCAGGGTTCAAATTCTGATGTGCTTCCCAATGCTATGCTCTGAAGTAGTATGCTATGCTTCAGTGTTTATCTAAAACAATCAAATCTATGGAGTGGTGTGTAGAACAAAAAGGACATCTTAGAAGATTGTGCTGTAATATTTGCATCTATATATTGCTCCTAAGCAAACATAGATGCAGGGTAAAGGTGATTCCACAGCAGAGAGTCTTAGCTGTCCCTGGATGCACAGACCTATTCAGCCAAGAAAATGCTTAAGAAAGATGAAAATAGTGTCAGTTGTTCTAACATCGCCACTGCAAGTACCAAAGACAGAGGGAACAATGTGTGCTGACAAACTGTTAGCTGAGGTATCAGAAGATCCAGATTCACTATTAACTCAGCTACAAGAGAATTAGGATAAGTCGTGTCACCTCTCTGGACTTTATCAACTAATTAAGGAGGCTGAACCTGATGAGCTTTGCCTTTTGGCTAAGTTAGGAGATTCTACGCCCCTCTCCCTAATAGATAAATCCCTGGGTCACTTTTTCTTTTTATTGTTGCTCATCTCTAATAATTGATCCATAATAAACTAGCATCTATAAGAACACGGTTTACACAGAACAAAACTTACTTGCAATTCAATGCACAAAATCCGGTCCCCTATCGGGGTGGTTTTGATTGTTGCTGGGAGATGAGGATGCTATAGTAGAAATAAGGACTAGCCCAGGAATCAGGCAGACATGGTTCAAATCTCGGTTCTGGACTTCCTAGCTGTATGAACCTGCTTAACGCACTCCTCTCTGTAACTGTTCTCTCAACTGTAAGATGAGAATGTAAATGCAAATCTCGATGACCCATTGTCTGCTATACCTGGGCAGCCTTTTGCAGAATTTTTCCCCAACTCATCCTTTCCCAAAATAACCTGCTTCCTGCTAGGAAGACTCTCTTACTGGCTGTCTCTCTTTGCTTTAAGTTGCAAGGGCTGGGGAGATTAGAAGAGTTCCGGCTTTATTAACACCGTGTATAAAACTAGGGAGGTTTGTTGAAAGTAGTGAGATACACTATAATCTCAGCAAGTATAATCTCCATTTGTAAACTCACATCTTTAGGAGTTAAAATTTTTTTATTTTAAAATAAAAGAATAAGAAGTGATAAACTGGATGCTCCTCTACTGTTTCAAAATCAAGCAGAAAATTTAGTTTATAGGTGGGTTCAAGATTCCTATCTTCTCTGAACTATTTAAACGATTTAGCTCATATCTCCTCCTCTTCTACGCAGTTTTGTTGTTCTTCTGTTACAGTGCTTATCTCTGTGCAGGTCCTGTGGGACATCCCTCCCTGTCCCCCTCCCTCTTGCCTCTTCCCTTCTTCCCACCCTCCCCCCCTCTTTCCCCCTCCCCCGCCCTCTCCCTCTTTCCCTCTCCCACTCTCTTCCTCTCTCTTCCACTGCAGTTTGAGCCTCCGAGAGGCAGACCCAAAATCTGGTTCCTCATTTTGCGTGCTGCCACTTAGCACAGACTCTTTCGGACGATTGGCATTCAATCACTGTTTGTTCATTTGAATTGATCATTATAAACAAATTTCTTGCAGCCGATATGGACCAGTGCCTTTTCCATTGGAAGTTCTTCCTGAAAAACACATGGAGAATGGGGAAATGAGGACAGAGCAAGTAATCTAACCTACAACGCTAAGAAGCCCCATGACACACCCAGAATGCAACAGTCCAAATATGAATTCAGTCCTTGGCTTATTTTTCTTTTCTTTGTTGGCTTCAAAACTGACCTTGAGTCATGGGGTAGACTCGGATACAAATAGGACCATTTTTTTATTGTTGTTCTTATGTTTTCTGTTTGTACTCTACAATAAAATCCAGAAGCGCCTTTTCAATGGATCACTGAAAGAAATCATAATAGAATACTATGTAAAACGTTAAAATAAACATATACATATGGAAATTAACAATAGTGTTTAAAAAATTAAATGCACCAGGGGCTTAGCAAATCCTTCTAAGAGCTTCGATGAAACCCACATTCTGACATCCATACTCTTACCCTTAGAGGAACAACGGACATAATGTAGGCTAGACAAAGGATTTCAGCAGGAATGGCCTAAGAAAGAGTCAAGAAACTTAAATATTTTTGAGTAGAATAAATTTTGCAAAAAATATACTTTTTGCAAAATTTTATATATATATATATCCATATATTCAGTAGAAGTAGTCATAGATATATGAGTAATAATTATAATAAAACTAATATATTGAAGACATTGTCAGGCATTCTACTCAGGCTTATACATTATTTAATGATAAAATAATTTTGTGTGATACAAAATTGAGTGTTAAGGACATTAAATAAGTTGGTAAAGCTGTGTGCATATTAAGTAGCAAGGTCAGTATTTGAACCCAGAAAATTCAACTTCAGAGCCCTCAGTATTAATCACTATAATATTTTTAGTATATTTAGTAGATATAATAACATTGTACCCAAAATATTGTAAAATCCAGATACAAATTTAGGAAATTTACTATATACATGAATAATAGTTAATTTTTTTTTAACATCAAACTCGATAAACATTAAAATACAGGACCACATCTGTTTCTTACATAAATTTGCCAGTAAGTGGTAGTCAAAAGCTAAAGCAATCTTTTTTTAAAGTTTTTATGGAAGTACTGAGGATTGAACCCAGGGCCTCATGCATGCTAAGCATGTACTCTACCACTGAGCTATACCCTCCCCCAAAAGCAATCTTGAACTTAGTGCCTGGGCAGAAATAGTCTTGCTGGCCAACAGTCTCCCCATCCTCAACCCCTCATGCATTTCCTTGCTCCCACTCCCAAACTTTTCACGTAAACATAATTTAGCTAGGCCAACATCCAGAGTTGGATTATGACTTCAGAAATTTTAAAAACTGAAAGACTATAATTTGAAATAAAAAGAAAATAATACCAAATTGAAAAGCTAAAATTACTATACAAGTGAAAACAAATAGCCTTATGGGAACATTTCTACCCAAAGCTTTTAGCATTAATCCATTGTAACAACTCTTATCATTTGGGGAAGGTAACCTTCTTCCAGTTCCTAAAGCAGCATCTTTGAAGTGGGACCTGTGCCCTCATAAGAACTTCCATTGGGTTGAAAGAAGAAAACATATAGAACTTCTACTTGTGTTTATTTGAAAATATAAGTCGATTATTTTACAGATATTTAAAACATAAATGGACATGGGAGGCTTGACACAGGGCAACCAGCAGATGGGTCACATGGTCACACTTGAATAGTATTCAAGAAACATCCACAGGGAAGAGTGGGACCTTTAAAACACAGAGGGACTGGCAGTGGAAATTTCATTCATTTTTCTCTCTTTCACTGTATTGCAGTAACTTGCAGTTTACTTTTTCTCACTTAAGTGAATTTATAAATTATATGAGCTACTCTTAAACAATCTACTCCTAATAAAATAAGTGTCCTAAAATATTTCTACCAAGAAATTGAAAGTTGAAGGTAATACTTACCATGCAAGCACAACAAAATCCAAGAACATGGAGAAGCTAAGCATTTTAGTAGAACAAGTTCTTGATCAGCCCTCCTACAAAGTAAAAACAAGATGAAAATATTTAAATTCATTAAGAAGACTATTCCAACTATGGATTTAAACCATTTTAATTAATTATGAAGCTCTTCCTGAGGGCATATTGTGCCTTGATAGTTTACAGGTAAATAATATTATGATGCCACTGTGACTAAGATGTTGCTCTTTCATTTTTCTAGCGGTGCTTTGGATATTTGGTACTAAAATAAGTACTTTTCAAATTTTCCCTCAAGGTAATTTTATGCTTAGGGATCACTTCTGAGATCCCTTAAGAGCAAAAGACTGAAATCTCTACAGAAACACTTGTTTGGTCTGCTGCAGAGAAATGTCTGCAGGAAGTAAGGGACAAGAATACGACCAGAAGCTAAAACACAATCCTTCGGCAGGCAAAAGAGTTTGAAGGCCCATAAAACACAAGAATACTTTTTTCAAATTCTGTTCTCCCATTCAAATCTACATAACTTTACAAAGTAACTTTTTCCAAAATCACGGCTCTCAACTAAGTTGAGAAGCAGATCTTTGCGTTCCTTTAATAGAGTGTGTATATCAGTTGTGGATTGTGGAGACCACATGTTGCAGCCTTATGTGATGGACTCAGCCTGGAGTCACATGAGAGGAAATCATCAACAAAAGCACACCCACACCATATTCTAATGTGAGTAAGAAATAAACTTGATGATGATAAGCCAGTGAAGAACAGGGTTACTACAAAAGAGAAAGGACTACTCAGACTAATGTGATTGCTAATAAAATATTAATGAGAGCAAAATGTTTTTGTACCATTGTTAAATGTAATAAAATTTTTCATGCAATTTTATTTTATCTTTATGGAATGTTTTTAAAACCTATATGTTTTGCATGTGTCTAATAATACGCATACTATATTTCCAAAGTAGTACAAATATACATATGTTTGGGTTGCGTGATAAAGATATTTTTTGCTTGATGAAGAAGCAATCGAAAACATTTGGAAATAATTAGCTTAAAATACATGCTCAGTTACTAAATTTTCATCACTAGCTATTTCACTCTTAGACTTGTTTTCCTCACAAGACTGATCCATATATCTAGGTCCTAAAAGACAAGAAAATGAAAGTCAGCTGCATTCTACTTCCACACATTTCTTCTTATCTTTGCCTACTCTTAATTGACATAGGTCACCATACTCAGACTAATGGTTTAATAGAGTGTAAGTACCAAGGAATTAAATCAGTTAGTATGCATGACTGAGGACAGTGTCCTCTAAAACACTCATATCCTTGAAGTTCTGTAATATATAAGCACTATACACATTAGAAATAAGGACAGAAACAATAAGTTTCATAAGGAAAAAAGTTAAACATGAGCAAGTGTAAACTTTTAAAAACACATACATATATCCACATACATGCATAAACAGATACACACATATACAAATATATGTGTATACTTATACAACTATTGTGTATTTATTTTATAGGGTTGGAAAAAAATTTAATCCTAGAGACTTTTACTACTCAAGCTGAAAGTAATTAGAGGTAAAAATTGAAATGAACCTTAGCTGCAAGGAAAAATTGAGGGTTTTAGATTTCATTTTCTTGAGCTAAACCAAGATCACATGTTTGTTTCAATAGTTTGATAGAAAATTTTTGTCCTATTCAGGTTCCAAAGCCAAAAACAGTCAATATTTCAGCTCTTAACAGCCATACATCTTTCAAGAATAGCTGGTATCTGCTCAAGGGTTCACATCAGAATGTATCCATTTGAGAACTTTGTGGCTCTTAAAAGTCTAGGATTAAAAGAAGTAGAAAGAGTGGCCTTTGAAATCTTTGAAACTGTTGACAGCTCTGAGCTCTCTGAGACCTCTTGGTCACAAAAGCATCTACTGAGTATACTCTTGGACACATCTCACTAGAAGTGTTCACCCCTTCATCTAATCAAAAGTTCGACCTTTTAGGTCATTTTTTGAGAGTTTCAAATGTTCTTTTAAAAAGGCAAGGCCAACATTTTACAACAACCAAAGCCAGATGAAAGTGTTCAGAGTATGTGGTGGTTCCGTCTCAATTTCAAGGAAACCCCTCCTACAGCAATGGTTTTGTCTCAATATCTCTCAAATCAGGAGTGCTAGGGACTGAGTAATTGTGTTTCTCCAGCATTCCTATGTTGAAACTCCAATCTCCAAAGTGATGGTATTGGGAGAGAGAGCTTTGGAAGATAATTGGGTCCTTAGGGTGAAGGTTTCATGATTAGTGCCCTTAGAGTAAGTAAGAGACGTGAGAGAAATGATCTCTCTGCCGTGCAAGGATACAGTAAGAAGGCGGCCATCTGCAGACCAGGAAGAAGACTTTAACCAGACACCAGACCTGCTAGTACCTTGGTCTAGCACTTCCCAGCCTCCAGGAATAAATGCTTAGTGTTTAAGCCATCCTATCTATGGTATTTTACTGTATCAGCTGACTAAGACAAGTAGTAATCAAACAACCACGCGATCTTAACATAGCTAGCTGGATACAAAATTTAGGTTATAAATGCCGTAGGTTGATAGCACAGTGTTGAGAAATCGATGTTGCAATTCTCTGTCATCTTTACTTCTTAGAAATAACTCAGTTCACATCAATCATTGTGGTAAGAGGAACTATAAATCTCCTCTCATCTCTTGTGGTCAGTGGAGTGGCCTCTTCATTAGAGAGAGGGCGTTTTGGTGGGATGTCATATATTAGTAGTCAGTGCAGAAATCTCTTTAATGCATATTGTAGCTGAAGGCAGGCAAAGGACAGGCTCCTGACACAGTAAGGTTATGGTTACTCATTCATAAGAAGAAGTAATAAAGTTTTCACAGTAAAGGGTGTTTGGATTTTTTTTTCAGTCTTTGAATTATTTGGGAGAATTTATACTGTTTCAGAAGGAAGTGGCAAGATGTGTCTGATTTTCAGTACTTGATAAAATACCAAATGTCACCCCAAGTGCGTGTTTCTCTCATATCTTGTTTCTATAAGACAACAGCAGCCGGAAGCTGCTGGTCAGTCCATCCCCAGCTCTTATGGAGTAGCTATTATTAGGCCAGGGAGCGAGAGCCAAGAAAGCCATTGACATCTAAGACTACAGCATGGAAAAGCCACAAAAATGGGTTAATGTGGACTGAGATTTTATCATGGGAATAAAAAGGCACAGTTCCTTAGGATTTGTCCTTTCCCAGACACACCCAACAAATAAAAGAGGAAGATGTGGTTAAAGGGAGAGAGAACATCACAACATTAGATGGAATGGTCCAGGGAAATGTCCCACCCACATCAACCTCTCTCTGTGAGGATGCTGAATAGACTGGTACCTCTAACGGGACAGAAAAAGGAGAGATGGACACATGGCTTACATAGTGCAATTAATCTTTCCTACCCTGAATAACTGACTACTGAAAAAATAAAGAACAACAACAAAAAAGATTATGGTAGGTGTATTAGTCTGTTTGACCTGCCTTGACAGAACATCACAGACTGGGTGGACTTAACAACAGAAATTTATTTTCTCACAGTTTTGGAGGCTGGAAGTCCAAGATCAAGGTGCTGACAAAGCTGGTTCCTGGTGAGGCCTTTGCTTCTGGTTAGCAGAGGCTCATCTTCTCACTGTGTCTGCACATGGCCTTTCCTCTGTGCACAAAGAAAGAAGTCTCTGATGTCTCTTTCTCTTCTTATAAGGATACCAGTCCTAAGGGATTTAAATTTGATTACTTTCTTAAGGGCCCCATCTCCAAATATAATCACATTGCTGGGTGGAGCCTCAACATATGAATTTTGAGGGGACACAATTCAGCCCATACAGTAGGAGACATCATGTTTTAAGAAACTAAAACTTTATGGGATAAAAGGGTAGAATAGCAAATGAAGCCAGGGGTTAAGGTACTGCAAATAAATGTATCTTGTAAGGTCCTGACTAATTGTAATAGTGCAACTTAATTCTGAATTTCCCACTGACCGAGGCAAAGATGCAAACAGCATCAGTTATGGAACCCACAAGAGCAGTAAACTCATATTTGCTTCTGAGAGGAAGTGAAGCTTTTTGTACAGTTAAGGCCTGAAAGCTGTTTCCCCCATTTTAATAACATCTTCAGAGTTCAAACAAAAGCCAGTTAAATAACATTGTGTTTTACTGTACCTTTCACTGCTAGCTGTCAGAATAAAGACAAATCAAACATTTAGTGAAAGTGTTTCTACGAAAATCCACACAATGTAGGCCAAATGCATAGCTATTTGGTGACACTTTTTGGTAAGCTAAGTCCAACAATTGTTATTTATATATCTAAAATAAATAATAATGGGGTAGTATAAAACTGTCTCCGTTTTCTGACTTTTGCTTATTAGAAAAGTGTACTATGGCATATTTTTAGCAAAAAAGGAAAAATAAAAAAATTCTAAATAATATAGATGCGAAGAGGCTTTTTGTTCATGTGTCTTATCCAAACACTCAATGTTATTTTTATTTTACAAATTTGGGAGGGCAGTGTGAGGACTTCAGAGCAATTTGTGGCTTACTTAAACTGTATCTGAAATTCTTGGGGTTGTATAAAAGGGTGAAGAAATAAATACATGGATAAAGTTCATTTATCACTAAAGTACTTCAGCATAAGCAAGGACGACTCCAGGGCCCAGCAGCCCTGTCTGTGAACTAGAAGTTCCTGGACTTAAGGATTGGCTTCTAAAAAGGAAATGACCATTTCTGTGTTAGTTTAATAAACCTCAAATTAAAATGTTAGATTAATTTTCTAGTGCACTTGGAGCTTCAGTACCAAACAGAAACTTACAGTAGATAGTAATATTATGCCCAAAGTAGGCTTCTGGATAGAACCCAGAGACCCAAAGAATCTCTCTCTAACCTAACCATCACACCACCTCATTTGCAAAAGTGATTACTTTTTCTACCTATGAATCAGCAGTAGGAGGAAAAAGTAAAAGCTGGGACCGTTGGCTCCAAGAAGCAAGAGTAAACTATATATTTTTATCAGTGAGTATGTGCTTTCCTAGCCTTTAAAAAATTTAACAGCTATTTATTCAATTAGTAACTATCAATTTAAAACACAGGGAAACCTTGACCACACACAGACAATGGAAAATACACAGCTTATGTTAAAAGGAGAGCACGTGTTTCCCCAGACAGCAGAGTGCCCTGATCAGAAAGTAGAGCCCAGATGATGTCTCAAGGCTCTCCTTGGTCCAGGCCCCAAAGTTCTCTTGTCTTCTTTCCTCTCCCTAGGTGAAATCGTGTTTAGGAGTCACCCTGTTCAACCGATCACCTCCCGAACACACGTTTAGCGTTTTCTACAGTTGAAACTTTCAGGGGAAATTTTGATGTTAACGACACTTCTGTGCTGAGTGATCTTTTGGACTATTTTCGTGTTTTATTGTTGTTTATGCATTTTCATCCTGTTTCCTGAATGAGAATGAAGCCCCTTCAGAGTAGTTACTTCTCTCCTATTTCTTCCAACTTGCTGTAGAGACTAGGAACGGTGTCCCGCACACAGAGAAACGGCGTGGCGGGGAGGAACGGGCTTGGGTTTGGGCGTCGGTTCTAACTCCCACTCTGCTAGGCCAAGCGCTGACTATGTGATTTCTGGCCACTCATTTAATCCTCCTGAGATACAATTATTATTCTAAGAACATACTGGGGTGGAGATTGCTGCCTGGCTACCAGTGAGCAAGAGGTTTAGAGCAAACAGCTGATCCCGTTTACGTGGGTTTGAGGTTTTAGTGCTCTTGGCTTTGTTGGCAGAAACCTTTCTTCAGAGACGTTCAGCTTTCAATACCTTTAAGAAAATGCCTTGAGAAGATCAAGGGAAGGATCACTTTTAAGCTGAGTGCAAAACCCAAAGCTCACTTAGATATCCCTGGCTTATTCCACTACTGGATAGACTTACGTTCTTGGGCAAAGACAACTGTTTTTCCTGGCTTTCCTCCTCAAATATGCAGACAAATCCTCGATGGCAGCAACGGCTAGAGGAGCGTTTATAGCCAGTTCTGTTCAAGGGAAGTCGGTAATACAAGTCCTGTTTACTGGGGCCAAACTACATAGTTGGGTCAATATTAGAAAAAAAAGTTCACCATCCAAGGGTTGCTATCGATCACCATGGGTGATTTTTCTCTTTCTGTGAATCAAAGTCATTTGCTGCAATGCTTAAAGTAGGGTAGGTCCAGAGTAGTTTTGAAAAAAAAGTAATGAATAGAGGTCTTGTTTGTTTGTTTGCTTGTTTAAGGCATACTTTTACATCCTTGGCATTTCAGCGACCAACAGACAGAAAGAGGGATTCTACTGAAAGTACTGAAGGGGCTGCTGGAAAAGATGCAAAGACATTAAAAATGAAAAACAAAGCGGAACGGTGGAGGAAAGGGTAAAGTGGTATATTTTACATTTGAACTGGTATAACTAACTGATTATTAATGGTCATTCAGAGAAAAACCTTGGTTTGTGTTTTTGGGGGGCCAGTCTTGATCTTGAAAATCCTCCCCTCCCACACTTTCATTTCAGCTGCGGTTGCCCATTGTACCCATGAGGGTTCTGCGATAGTAGGTTAAATATTTTTATGGTAGCTTAAGATTGGATTTGTTTCTTTCTGTGACTATTATGTTGTCATGGCAAAAGTCTTGTGTAATATGAGAACCATAATTTCCATTTCACAAAGAAAATAATGGTTCTTCAAGCTGCCTTAAAGGGCTCAACAATTTAAAAGAATGGCAAGAAACCCATACGTACATGTCCCTTGAATATACTTGACTTGTGTACATCTAAGGAAACATGGGTAAGTGGTCGTTAACCAGTGTCCCTATGTTATAACATATTTCCATATCCCCAGCATTTGTCATGCAAACATTTGTTCATTATTTCACTTCACTGGCTCTTTTAACACCACGGAGATAATTTCATTAGGAAATTCAGAAATTTCATAAGGATTCATGGAGAAACACATTCCTTCATGGCCTGGTTTTGAAATTCCACACTGAATCTGAGTCTTCGGGATTTCCATGGCTTAGGCAGATGTTGCAAAAGAAATCAATATACTCTCGATAGTCAATTGACTTTGCTTTCTGGATGAATGCAAAATTAATGTTTTTGGTGACAAATTATCTTGTTTGGAATTTACAGATATTTTTGCCAAAAGTACTGACTACAGATTCAAAATAATAAGTTTTTTTAAAAAAGCATTGTTCTTATTATGCACAAGATACCATGATTCAAATCAGAATTTTTGCCTCTCCTTTGGGGTATACAGACTTCAAAAAGATGGATCATTTTTTTTTGAACAACAATTAATTTTTTCCACAATTCTATGAGTGGCAAGTTGGTTCTGGTGGTTTTGCCAGGAATCTCTCAGGCAGTTGCAGTCTGAGAGCAGTGGATTGATTGGACAAGGAGATCCGAGATGGCTTCCGTCACATCTCTGCTGATTGATGACGCCTCTCAGCTGAGGTAACTCGGTGCTCCTCTTTGGACTTCATCCAGTGGACCTCACAGATCAACCACTGCCCTTCTAATTTTTCTTCTCTCCACTTCCTTTCCTTCTTAACTATTTTGCAGCTCCTTATTCCCCAGGGTGCTCGGAATATTTTTTTCACATCCCTAGTGCAATTCTCCTGTGAAGGATGTGGCATCTCACGCCTTTTTACTCTTCCCCTCTTGTACCACACTAGATCCATGTTATTTTTTAGCTTCTATTTTTCTCCCACTTATTTTGACAACTTCTGTCACCTTTGGGACCAGCGTGTATTTCTGGTCTGTGTCTACTCATACTTTGGAGTGAACTGCAAAACAGAAAAACACGGCAAATTTTACATGACTAAGTGTTTAATTTGCACAGTCCTGATTTTTGTACTATGATTCTTTGCAAAGGATGCTTTTACTTCTATGTCCTTTAAAGGATTTTCTTTTATTTTCCATTTTGGTTTCCTTTTTCAAACCAGATACATTTCTCTGTTTTATTTTTAAGTACGTACTTCTTGATGTTGACTAAAAACATCCTACGATTTCTCTGTCTTCTTTCTCTATTTTTCCTCTCTCAATAGGGGAATAAGATCCAGTGGTCCACTCCAAGGAAAGCACAACTGGCTCCAAGTGAACACGACCTCCTCAAAGCTCCTGCCAATGAACCACACTGTCTGCTGCTCTCGTTTGAACACTTTGACACCCACCTGGGGCTATTGTCACAGGTGCCTCTTCTATACTCCATTCAACATCTGAGGGTCTACAAATGGTGTCCAGGAATGAACGTAATCAACACACTGGAAAACAAAAAAGAGGCACCCAACAGAAACAAACTGAAAATGTACTGTTATACCGATCACCACGAAAACCACACTTCTAATTATTTTGCTTAGGAAGAGTAAGAGCTGCAAACCTCTTTTAAAAAAAAAATCATGTCCCCAAACAGCAAATATGAAAACCTCAAATCATCAAATAGTAAGTAGAACTGTTAAGCACTGTAGGAAAGTCCTCTTGTTTTAAGTATTGCCCCAATCACAAGACAAAACGAATTTGGTTTGCCTCTCTGAATTAACCGTAGTGAGCCGTGACTTACATGATTATCTCACCTTGAACGTCTTTGCTGCTGTTTATTTTAAAATTTGTATTCGATGAGCTCTGAACATTATCTCTTGGGTAAAGTTCATATCTCAACTCTCAATGCAAAAGTTTGTGTTAA